TAACTTTTAAGTATCAGTAGCTATAATTCATATAAATGAAAGCTCTTTGCAGTTGGAAATTTTTTTTTCCGAGACAGTCTTGCTGTGTTACCCAGATTAGAGTGCAGTGGCACAAACACAACTCACTGCAGCCTCAACCTCCTGGGTTCAAACAATCTTCCCACCATAGCCTCCCCAGTAGCTGGGACCACCAGTGTACACCACTATGCCTGGCTAATTTTTTAATTTTTTGTAGGGACTAAGTTTTGCTATGTTTTCCCAGGTGGGTCTTAAACTCTGGGTTCAAGCCATCCTCCTGCCTTGGCCTCTGAAAGCGCTGGGGTTATAGGCATGAGCCACCGCTCCCAGCCAAGGTTGACAATATTTTTAAGAGTGAAAAGGAGTCCTGTGACCAAAATTTGAAGACCTCTGCCTTCAGTTAAAGTGGTAGATCCAATATCTACCACTTTTGAGTGATTTTTGAGTCAAGGGGAGAATTAAAATAGATTTCAAATTTTGTGAAGGGAAAGTAATTACCACCCACTGATTTCTGTTTTCTCAAAGTATAAGGAGAAGTCACTGGCTAAGAGTGAAGAAAGGAAAAACTTTCGAGAGAAAGAAGGAATTGGGAGAATTGTTAGAGAATAGGCAAGTATTGATTAGAGGAACACGGCTAAGATTGCTAGGCAAAATTGGATTGTTCACTTGGATTAGTAGTATATTTGAAATGACAACCGTCTACTTGAATGCATGATTTCCTCCCCCAGTAATTTTCAGCTGTTGAGTTGAAAGGAACAAGAAAGCAGAAGATTGAGTTCATCAGAATTTGAGTTTATGAGTTCAAAAGAGGGAGAAGCATGAGATTTAAAAATATTTGTAGGCCGGGCAAGGTGGCTCACACCTGTAATCCCAACACTTTGGGAGACTGAGGTGGGCAGATCCTAGGAGTTCAAGACCAACTTGGCCAACGTGGTAAAACACCGTCTCTACTAAAAATACAAAAATTAGTTGGGCGTGGCTGTGCACGCCTGTAAACCCAGCCACTCGGGAGGTTGAGAGCAGGAGAATCAGTTGAACCCCAGAGACGGAGGTTGCAGTGAGCCAAGATTGCGCCACTGCACTCCAGCCTGGGATACAGAGCTAGACTCTGTCTCAAAATAAATTAAATGAATATGTTGTAAATACTTTTACAAATACAAATACATTATGATGTATAATGATGGACCATGATCTCTAATTATAGTGATGGGCTATAGGTAAAGAAAAAAGGGAGGACAAGAAGAGGTAGACAGGATAGTATGATGAGGTCAACAGGCTGGCATTTTAATTGAAATAAACTGGAAAGACATGGTAAGAGAACAGGATTTTTAAATTAGAAACTTCCTTTACTGGTGATGTCAGGGTTCAAAGTATAGCCTTGGGGTCAATAATTGAAGAAAGCAGAATCAATTTTAGCTTGTCTGTCTTACAAAAACAGCACAAAACATAATGGCCAATGTTTTAAAACAGAAGCCTGTTTTGGATGTTTTCAAGTAACCCACTTTCATGTTTTTCAACTCGGCATTTACTAAATATCTACTGTATGCGAAACAGATCAGCATTAAGAGAGTGCAGAGATGACTGCCCTCATGGATTTTAGAATCTAATGGGAGAAACCAGTCAATCCTAATCCAGAGTAGATTAAAATAGATGCTAAAACAGAAATAAAAGGAGCTTATGAATAGGGAAATTGTATGTGTAAGATGCTCAGAGGAAGTTGTAGCATTTGGACTGGTTCTTGATGAAAAGTGTATTCCAGATCATAGAGAGCAGGGTTACAGAAAGAGAAAGGCATGTGGTATGCTCGGGAGAGTGTGAAACAAGTTGACTGTAGAGAACAGAAGCTTCCTTTCCCCACCACAGCCCCCTCCCCACCCACAGCAACTCAAAAGCAGGAAAGGTTTTTGAAGGGTAGCATAAACTGGTATGTCATTTTAGCAAAAAGTAAAAAAGAAACAAAACAAATGGGCCCAAAGTTGAGTAGCAGGAAATTCTCTGATGATCCAGATAAGAGATGATGAGGAAGCATATACAGAGGGATGTAGTGGCAGTAGAAATGATCAGGAGGAGCCTGGGCAACATGACAAAACTTCGTCTCTACAAAAAATATACAAAAGTTAGCTGGCCATGGTGGCATGCACCTGTACTTCCAGCCACTCCAGGGGCTGAGGTGGGAGGAGGGAGGATTGCTTGAGCCTGGGAGGTCGAGGTTGCAGTGAGCCGAGACAGTGTCACTGCACCCTAGCCTAGGCAACAGAGCCAGACCCTGTCTCCAAATAAATACATAAGCAGGAGAAAAAATGGAATATTTGGTAGACAGAATGACAGAATTTGGCAAAGGCTATATGTGAAAGATGTAAGAGAACAGAAAGTGACTGGTTGTCTTATATAGGAAGTATTGAAAAATAGTATTTTTTTTTACCTTGTTATCGTACTCTACCTTGAAGTATAGTTTAAAGGGGAAGGCAGTAGATGGTCTGCTTAGTTGCTGCTATTAATATCTTTAACTTCTTTTAAAATACAAAGAATACAGTCTTAAAACAGCACTGTTTTAATTAGATGCCTTGTTTCAAAGGCTCTTTCCTAACTCTAACATGGGAGGATCAAGGGCACATGGAAAGTGGTGGGAATGGTAAGAGGGTACCTGGATAATCTCTAGAAAGCTTCTGCATGGGAAAATGAAGGTACAGAAGCGTTCTGACTTACTCAGAGCTATCTCACTAGTCACTGCTACTGTGGGGACCAAAACCCTGAATACCCGAATCCTAATCTAGCTACTCAGTGCTGTACCTTACAAAATGAAATGTGATTTCACCTTTGTAAACTGAAAAATAATATTGTTATTTTAAGCATTTTTTAGTATTTTAACATTTTTCATCAGTTAATCCCAGAATGGAATTATTTGAGTATGACAAGGCTGAAAAAGTATCATTTTAGAAGAGTTTATATATGTGGTTAGATTATTTGAAAAGACAGATGTATATATTTGTTCACTGACTGTCTCCACCCCAGAATGTAAATTCCATGAAGACAGGGATTTTAGTTTTCTTCACTGTATCACTAGCTTATCGGTTATGTCAAAAAATCTCGGTAAATGACTGATGAATGAGTGACTGAGTGGATGAAAGAAATGGACTCTTATCCGAAGAGAAATTAGGAGGACTCATGACACACGTAACAGGAATAGTAAAAAGAAAATTGATTTTTTTTAAAAAAATTGTCTTTATCCAAATTGCTACACTTATTATTTGTAATTCCATTTTCCTCTCGGAGATGTTAAAATAGTTTTTATATGTAAGTCTTAAATTTGGATTACTCTAAGAAATTTAGAAATGTTAATATACCAATTAAGTAATATTATAGTAGTAAATTGTTAGAATAATTCTGGCAAAATTTTTACATATATAGTATATATTCATATATCCATTCAGCTTTTCTATGTGCTTTGAAAAATATTGTATTTTTTTTTTCATTTTATTGAAAACATCTGATTTTGTTTTTGTTTCTGTTCAGTTTTAATCGCTTGGATCTACCACCATATAAGAGTTATGAACAACTAAAGGAAAAACTTCTTTTTGCAATAGAAGAGACAGAGGGATTTGGACAAGAATGAATGTGGCTTCTTATTTTGGAGGAGCTCTTGCATTTAAATGCCCCAGCCAAGAAAAATTGCACAGATAGTGTATATAAGCTGTTCATTCTGTACAGTGAATTTTCCGAACCTCTCAAAGTATGTTTTCCGTTCTTCCACAGAAATATGCAAAACAGTTCATCCTTTTCTACTTTATTTATTGTTCCCTTGAAATGACTGACCAGGAAAAACATCATCCTTAAATTTTGAAGCAAGTGAGAGACTTTATTAAAAATACATATATATCTATAAAAGCATATATGATAGTGGCTCTAGTTTTATAGAGCTCCAAGTGTATGAAACATGACAGCCGTTCATTCATAAAGATCTGGATTTGCTTTACCTTGTTAATATTATCTAGGGGAAAAAGTGCAAATTGCTCCATGTTCTTCTCTCCCTTATGTAACATCTCCTGAGGGTGTTTAGTTGCATGGCTGTTCAGGAAGGTATTAAGGGCTTAGGCCAAATCTTACTTTGAGTATGTTAAAAAAAAAAAAAATGCTGCTGGCTTTTCTGAAGACAGGTGCTTGAACCTGTCAGTTTGTTTTAAATAAATACAATAGTTGAAAATTTTTCTCTCTGTTACATCAGTAATATTGTCAAAGTAATGGATAAAACCATAACTTACACATGAAAGTCATATACTAGATCTGATACTATTTAGTTTATCGAAATTGGAAAGATTCATTGAGCAGCATAGAAGTTTGTTTACATGTTGAGATGCTAGGTATTTGTGGAATTAAAAAGAATCAGGCACTTTTGTACTTTGTTTTTAAATCTGTGATGTTTTTCAAATTTAATTCATAATAAATTGATGCAGTTTCATACTTAGGAACATACAAAAGGTAATGTGAACTCTGCCACTTTTTTTGTGTTCAAAGTTTTGGATTTTATGAAGCCAGATGGATTGAAGAGTTACATAAGCATTTGAATGCTCTAATATGAGGCTAATGATTTTCTGTTAGTATTTGACTATCTTCATTCCTCTCAAATTCATAACAGTTCTATTTATCGGAATTAAATAAGCATATAAAAATGTTTTGAGTCTCCCCCTTTTTACACAGATAATTATTTTTGTCATAAGTAACACTTTTTAATTGTTTTTCATCATAAGGCCTTTGCTGAACTACAAAAATGTGTAACAAATTAAAATCTGGTGTGAATGATATTAATGCTACTTTTAGCAAACTGGGCTTCCTAATACAAAATTTTAAATTTCCGTTTGTATCATGCTTTTAATATGCACTGTAAATTTCATCAACTTAAACATTTTTTATAGCCATGGAAATGACTTCTTAAAATATGTTGCCTATAAATATTTCACTGCTAAGTACATACAGAAAAACAGTAATTATTGTTTTGCCAAAATTTTATTTTTCTACATACTGAGAGTGTGTTCTGCATTTTATTCAGAAATCATAGTAAAGGCGAAAGAAAGGCAGTGATCTGCTTGGCTGAATAGACTCCTTTTCCAAATCCGAATTATGAACACTCTGGTTATTTTCAAGCCTAAAGAATCTTTAAAAAATTCTAATGTATGTGACAGGTTATGTGATAGAGGGTAACTGGTCTTCAAAAAGGACTGCCTTAATTATACCATAAGAGTTAAGTATTAGAATTACAAATGGTACCACTGCTGTATAAATTTTGCTATGACAGAAGTTATTGAATATCATTCATTGGAGGTATGATTTAGCAGATTTGACTAAAGAAGGTGGCTTTCCAGTTCGTTTTCAGGGTGCTGGTCTCCCTCCTCAAGTAAGAAATTACGATGCACCAGGTGAGGCTACACAGAACCCTACAAGAGACCAAACCAGCTTTGTTTTGGAGAATTCATCAGGGTCTTCCACTTTTCACACCCAGTTATAGATATCCAAGACCTACAGGCAGAGCTGTCTTGATTTATCTACCCAGTAGCAGTCGGAAAAATTGTAGAAATATGGTCCCTCACTCACCTTCTCCCCTTCTTCCCTTCCCAGCTGGACCAACCAGAACGAAATTAGGGAGTGCAAGACTCTCTGTGCAGTTCATGAGGAAACAGACAAAAGGGAGGCTCAGAGACAGGTTTATACTGCTACTTCATTTTGATGACTCACCCGCCCCCACCACCAGTAAATAGTCCAGGGAATAGATCACAGACCCAATACAATTGTGTCTATTAGATCAGTTTAGCTATTTGTCTTCCAGGGAAAGCAGCTTACCAGTGTTTGGGGTTCCCCCCCTCACCCCCATACTTCCCAAGTAGTTGAAAATGAAAAGGTTAACAAAACCTTTCCCCCTGATGATTTCTGTTAACTACCTACCTCTTCCTACCCTGACAACTAAATAGGATGTATTGCCAGGCAACTTTGAGTTTAAGTATGACCCCTAGGACTGGTAAGTTGCATCTGGACTGGGAAATCTCCAGATACATGATAGAAAGCCACAGCTTTGGGCATACTTGAGTGGAAAAGTCTTGTAAGTGCATGTCCTTTAAGGAGGACCCTGAGCTGTCACCTGGGGAGATACCGTTGCATTGCTGTTAGAATATTGTCTTCTGAAAAGGAGGTTCAAAATTGTCCTGCTGGTGAGCTGTGGTTCCTGTCCTAGAGCCTTCTGAGTAAATTGGTGCCAAATATAGCCTGTTGTAGACTTGTTAAGTCTGAATGTTTGGTTGAACCTAAGAAGATTGGTGGATGATGCAGAAGTAAAAATCTTCCTTTGTTGAAATACGCAAATAAAAGTTGTCCTGTAACACTTAGTTGGCCTTAAAAGCCAAGCTTTAGGTCAACTGGGGATTTGATCTAAGTCCAAAAGTGGTATCTCCTAAATTCCAAAATTTCTCTCCTCAATTATCAATCAAGAACAAAATCAGAGGTAATAGTAGTTGTATTTATTGGTATTCATGGCAAATCCTTTACATAAATTATTCTTTTAATCCTTACAATTCCATGAAATTGGTGGGGTTGTCTTTAATGGTGCTTTTTTTATAGATGAGGAAAGTGAGTATGAGGGAAGACATTTTTACAACATCCACAGCTAGTACACAGCCCGTGATTAAAAACTCAGTTGAGATAACTTGGCCATCAAGAAATTGAGGACTTTTACATTCTTATAGGATCATGGCCACTTTCCAAAATCAGTATTCTACTCACATCCTCAAAAGGAAGGAAGGAAACATCTATAAAGGAGAGAGATAGCCTGTGTATGTAATACGCTTAGAAGACAGAGTACTACCAACTTCTATATACATGTATATGGGGAAATAAGCATCTCCATCCAGCAGTCAGCTCTGGAATCCACACAAGAACAGAATCAGGTGGGGGCTGCAGGGGAAGGAGTAAGGGATTCCTGGGGTTCCTTCTCAGTAGTGGGTCTCATCCTTAGTGGGGAAAGATCAAGAACCAATGTGACATGTGGGGAATCAGGCTCCTGGGAAGTCAAGTGGAAGCGACTTAGTGCACATAATTAGAATCTTGGGAAGGCACCATGTCTTGCAGAAGAAACCTAACCCTCAGAGAGTAAAGGGAAAAAATGAAGATAAGGACCCAGTAGCCACACTCCTGGACATGTATCCCAGAGAGAGAGAATTTATGTAGACATAAAAACCGGCATATAATGCTCATAGCAGATTTGTAACAGCCCCAAATCAGGAATAACCTAAATGCCCCTCAGCATATGATTGATATGGTATGCCCATACAATTAAATACTAATCAACTCTAAAAAGGAACAAACTATTGATAGAACTTAGGTCTCAAGGGAATTATGCTGAGTGAAAAAAAGAGTGTCACAGGGTCTCACTGTATGATTCCATTTGTATAACACTGTTGAAATAAAATTATGAAGAACAGATTAGTGCTTGTCAGAGCTAGGGATGGGTGGGGGAGAGGAGGTGGATGGGCGTGACTATAAAGGGACAGCACTAGGGATCTTTGCGATGATGGAACAGGTCTGTATCTTGATTATGGTGGCAGTTACCAAAAATCTACATGTGATAGAACTGCATACAACTATACACACAAGAGCATTTAAAAGTGGTAAAATCTAAATAAGGTCTGTGGTCTGTACCAATGTCAGTTTCTGGGCTTTGCTATTGTACTTTAGGTTATATGAGATGTTAGCACTGGGACAGGCTGAGAGACGGGTACACAGGACCTTTTTTTTTTTTTTTTTTTTAGTGTGTGAATGTATAATTATTTGAAAGTAAAAATATTTTTTAAAGTTCTAATAAGGAATCAGGAGGTAAAACCTCACTCCATAAAAAGCTTTATTACTGAATGATACCTGATCTCACAAAAAACAACTTAGCAGAAAGTATTCTTGAACTAACCCAGACCCTTTCCTCCCATTTGATGACTTAGTATTGCTGGTAACTCAACATAAAATTACATCCCTAGGGAAAAAAATAAAATCACTAAAGAGAAAACTGAAAATGAGAAAAAAGTAAACTTTAACACAATATGCTAATAGGAATTAAATTATTAGATATTTTAAAAATCCAAAATAGCAACTTAAAAACTCAGAACTGGACAAACAAAATGCAGATGTGAATGACTGGCTAAAATCAGGAAAAACATTCAGAGAAAAAGACAAACATATCAGACATGAAGGCAATTATAAAGTATCTAAGGAAGAAGAGATACAACCAAAAGTAAAATAAGGGATATGGAAGATATAAATGAAAAGAGCCAAGAAAATGAAACAAAAAGGCTAAAAGAAAAATCAGTAAGTGATAAATATGAAAGTCAGGCAAAGATCTAATAGAACTAATTTGAGTCCTGGAAATAAGCTGGAACAGCAGTTCTCAAGGTGTGGTCAATTAGGCCAATCTGGAATGTGACAGAATCTATGACAAATGGACTGGCCTATTCAAAAAGTCAATGTTGCAAGAAGAAAAAAATGGGGAACTGTTCTAGATTGAAAGATAAGCAACAAATCAAATGCAATTTGGATCCTGATTTTAAGAGGCATGAGACATCTTGGGGACGTTTGAGAAAATTTGAATATGGGTAGATATTAGATGATGTTAGAGCATTGTTAACTTTTCCAGTTGTGATAATGGTTTTGTGTTTGTTCAGGAAGATGTCTTTATTCTGAGAAAATGCATGCTGACACATTTAGGGGTGAACTATTATGATGCTTGCAATTAATTTCAAAAGGTTTAGAAATGTATGTGTTTGTACACACACAGACATACATATAAATACAGTTTGAACATCCCTGAATCCAAAAATCTGAAACATGAAATTCGTGCTCCATAATTCAAAACTTTCTGAGTGCCAAAATGATGATACAAGTAGAAAATTCCACATCTGACTTCATGTAACAGGTCACAGTCAAAATGCAGGTGCACAACACAGTTTTTTCAGTTTCCCTACAGGAAAAAACCCATTTTAAAAAGCCATCCAGCAGAATACCACCACATCCCTAGAAAGACCCACTTCTGGCCCTTCAACTGCTTCTGTTTCTCCTCACCTACAAAAATAAAATACAGTATACAATAACCTTTTAAAATACAGCATCATAAGCGGGAGACTGAAAGCCTGCCATTGTTTGTTGCTGCCGTTAAACAGCTGATACAGGTTTCTGGTGATGCTACTGTTGCCTAGCTACCCTGACCACATTATTTTTTCACTGCATCAATGGTATGTCTTTTTTTTTTTTTTTTGCCATCTTTGTTCCTATGCGAATTATGTCATTTTTTTTTTACCGTTAAGTAGTTATGCAGGAATAAGTATAGTAACTGCTTATTGGTAGCATATAAATTCAGTCAGGAATGATGGTGACATCAAACCACAAATTGATCACATGAGTGGCTGAGATGACACCTTTGCTTTCTGATGGTTCAATGTATGCAAACTTTGTCTCAATGCACAAAATTATTTTTAAAAATTATATAAAGTTACCTTCAGGCTGTGTGCATAAGGTATATATGAAACAAGTGAATTTTGTGTTTAGACTTGGATCCCATCTCCAAGATGTCTTATTGTGTGTATGGAGATATTCCAAAATTTGAAAAAATTCCCAAATCCAAAATGCTTCTAGTCACAAGTATTTCAGATAAGAGATACACAACCTATATAGCAGAATCGTTGAATCTGAGATGGGTGTACAAAGATCACTACTTTCGGTCTTCCTTTTTGTTTGAAAATGTACATGATAAGCATATCCATACAGTTCATTGTAACATTACAATTTCCAAATCCTTTGGGAAAAATCCACCTACACACAATCTCTCTTTATCCAAGTGGATTCAAGATGATACTCCTTTTTACAGAACTTAAAAAGATTTTGCAGTGGTGGCATTCCAGCCTCAAGTGAGTAGCATAGTCCTGCCTATTTAAAAACATCTTAGTATTCCATTTCACTCTTAAGTTTTGTGTTCCTTCCATTCCATTAGGGAATAGAGCTTTGTGTGTCTGATAAATTCAGTCTACCATGAGACTATACACCACATTTAGAGGAAACTGGCCAGGCGTGGTGGCTCACACCTGTAATCCCCGCACTTTGGGAGGCCGAGGTGGGCAGATCACTTGGGGCCAGGAGTTTGAGACCAGCCTAGCCAACCTGGCAAAACCCCATCTCTACCAAAAATATAAAAGCCGGGTGTGGTGGTACAACCCTGTAATCCCAGCCACTCAGGAGGTTAAGGCAGGAGAATCACTTGAACCGGGGAGGCGGAGGCTGCAGTGGGCCAAGATTGTGCCACTGCACGCCAGCCTGGATGACCGAGTGAGACTCTGTCTCAAAAAAATAAAAAAAAAAAAGGAAACCACTCAATTTTTAGTCGTCTCCTGACTTAATTCCTTCCTTATACAGGTTAGCTCCAAGATACATCATTTAACTACTTTATGTCAGGAAACCACAAAATCCTAACCTCTTTTACCACACCTTCTCTGCAAAGATCTCAACTTAGAATCCATCCAACTTGAAAATCCATCCCCCTGTATATCCCCTATAGATCCATTTCCCCTCCTCTACAAAGCTTTCTTTGCTTGATCTCCCATCCCAATGTGATCAATCCTTAGAAATCTCATACCATTTTGCATTGCTGGTATCCAGGATGCAAAATAATCTTTGCCTGAGCCATGGAGATTTATTTCTACCACTCTTATGGCAATTATTTATTTTACTTTATTATTTGTGAAGAAGCCTAGAATTTTTTATATTTACACTGTTAAATGGTCACAACATTTTAAAAGCCGTAGAACAGTTATATTTCATATATTTTTATAATTAAATGAAAAGGCAATGTTTATTAGCTGTTTCATACATCATCTCTGAAAAGTTCTCAGTTCTTCTCACTGAAACTTGTAAGCAACTGAGCAGCTTCTGTCTGTATCTAAAATGGAAAAATATATGTTATAAGTAAACAGGAGAGCTAAGAGACTAACTTGTGAAATTTAAGTTTATAAAGTGGGGTTTCTAAGAGTTTCCAAACACCAGATAGGACATTATAACAATAAAATTTCTTGACAGTGACCCGATGAGACTCTTAGCTCTTCCACTTTAGTACACATCCCTTGACTTTTATGTTTTAGAAATCTTAACTCCATCTGCCATGTGTGTCAAAACAGGAATAATTCTGCATTGTAGCAGGCAACCCCTAACATCTATTTGGTGACAGTAACTAAACATTTCCTATATAGAAATACAAATGTCAATGAATTTACGCTTGAAATGAACACACCTGTTTTCAACAATGTTATGCATTTAGAAAATTATGCTTTTACAGTTCTTAATTCACCATTTAATAGTGCCTCAAAACATTTCTGCCTTACTTTATGGGAGATGTTTTACCTGTTTATCCTCCTCTGTGTGTGCTGGATAGTCCTTGGCTTTCATTAGCCAGAAAGCAGCAAGCTTTTTGTTGTGTAGTTTCAAGTATGTCTTTCCTAAAAGAAGTAAGTTTTTGCTGTAGAAGTTTGGATCCACTGCACATAGGAAAGAAAAAAATGATCTCAGATGAAATAGTGTTGCTTTTATTTTTAAAGGTTTGATTTTGAGGTCTAAATTTCAATAAATTTGGTCAATAAGTGATTAGACTAATGGAAATTCTCTTTTGTTCAACTGTTTATCTAATATTTGTAAAATAATAATTACCATTTAATGAACATCTACAAATGTGCTAGGCACTGTATTATACACATTTCTGATTTTCACAACTTTGCAAGTGGGTATCTCCATTTTATAGATGAGAAGCTGAAGCTCCTGATAGAATGTACGCTATTTGAGGACAGTGATACTCTTTTTAATCTCTTTAGTTCCCTATGGTACCCCAAGTGCCTACAACAGTGTGTGAAACAACATATATTCAGTGTACATCTGTTGAATAAGTGAATGAAATAATGATTATGACATATATATATTTGATCAACATTTACTGGATGTCAGCTATACTTAAGCATAGAGGATGAAACAAAAGCTCTGCTTTTTTCAACTTTATAACAAAAAGGAGAAAGAAACATGAATACAAGTAAATGTAATATAAAAATGAAGGGAATGCTTTGCTAGATATACAAACTTTGAAATGGTATGAGAAAAAAAAAAAAAAAAAAAAAAAAAAGTGGAGAACATTCTTGGCTGAGAGAAAAGCATGAATAGAAAGCCTATGAATGAAAGCATAGAATTATCTCACCAACTTCATTCTCCACAAAGTTTCCTAACAATCTGAGATCCTCTGTATTCAAAGCATACTTTTTCCTGTATACAATTAATGATTAATTCCACGTGCTCCTTAGCCAAAATTGTTTTACTTCTTTTATTTGAGCAGATTTGTGTGATGCCATGTTGATATACTTAAGTTGTCCTGTGGTTAAATATATTCTTAAATTCATTCATCCAATCATTCATCTATTTACTCGGTCATTGAACAAATTTGCCAAGCATTGTGCCAAGTAATGAGTGTGCAATTGTGAGCCAGAAAAGACAAAGTCCCCGTCTTCTCTGAATGTACAATCTTAGACATGTGAGTGTTATAGTACTGAGTGATAAGTGTCACTGGAGAAACAAAAGATACTAAGGGCATCGGAGGAGCTTCTGAACTGAATATGGACCAGAAAGAAATAAGGTAAGGTCACTGAAGAATGATTGAAGTTACTACAGATTTATTTTAGCTCCATGAGGGAAGGACCATGTTTTTCTCAACACACCCAACCCTTAAGTCTCTAAGTCCTATATTTTTACTTTGTAATTAACTTTTAAATCTCTTTTAAAAAAAAAAGTCATTCCTAGATTCATATTTATGGTATGTGAAACAGTATGATCATGAAAGGGTATTAGTAGAAGGTAATAATGTAAGTCAGAATTGATAAATTACAGAGATAAAACATTCAGATAAAATTCTGTAGAAAACTATTATCATGAAATGAACAAGTCTATTATGTGTGGGATCTCAAATTTAATAAACATGGGATCTTCTTAATTTTCTCCTGATTAAGTTTTATAGAATATATTTCAATGGTTTTTATGGTCTATTTGGTAACATATGCTTATGTCTCTTATCTCCCCCACTTAGTGTATGAATATTAAAAAGGATAAATTTAGGATGGCCTGGTGACAGTTTCATAGGACTAGTCACTTTTCAAAACAAACATGACCTGAAACTCTTTATCACAATATCTGCAAGAGACTACCCTGGCTGGATAGCAGAATTCCCATTTAAATGCCTCTAATGAGATACACACATATATATATATATATATATATATACACACACACATATATATATATATTTTTTCCCCCCAGACAGGTGTCACTCTGGCCCAGGCTGTAGTGCAGTGCTGCAATCACAGCTCATTGTAGCCTGGAACCCCTGGGCTCAAGTGACCTTCCTGCCTCAGCCTCCTGAGTAGCTGGGACTACAGGTGTGTGCTGCCACACCTGGCTAATTTTTATTTTTATTTTTTGGTAGAGATGAGGTGTCACTATGTTGCCCAGGCTGGTCTCAAACTCTTAGGTTCAAGTGATCCTCCTGCCTTGGCTTCCCAAAGTGCTGGGATTACAAGTGTGAGCCACCACATCTGGCCAATATGTGCAGTCTTGAATAAGACAATTACCATGTCAGAGACTCCTCTCAAAAAGGAAGGCTGAATTACATCAAATGATGGACATTCCAGAACTGTAGCTCAAGTTCAGGAGCAGCCTATTTCTCATTCAGGTGATCTTTACTGAATAAAGACTTTAAAAATTGTTTTACAGTATCTAGCACAAAAACAAGCATAGCAGAATAAATAACTTTGCTTTAGAAATTGCTATTATAGTATATATATATATACAGCATTCATACAATTTTACTGTATTAATATGTGTAATCAAAAATACCTTACCTTGTTCTGCCCTGTGAAAGTAGCCTAAGGCCTGTCAAAAACAAAAAGAGCCCAAACATCATAAAAAAAATTAAAACAGACAATATTAAAAAAGCATTGTCTCAAAGACCTATTCCTATATTAAAGTCAGGAAGTAAATCATCTTAAAATAATGGTCACTTCTTCAACAGTGAGAGTTAACACCCAAACTGAACGTAACACTTAAATCATCATTAAGATGACAATATATGGACTACTTCTGGTAATAACTTGGTTGCTGTTTAGAACTTGTACCGAACTAACATAATGTGCAGAAAGGAAAGAACATTATCATGTGTAACTCAGCTATTTTGACAGTTCTCTTAAATAATAACTAGTGATTTCTACTAAAAATGAAATATAATCAAAAGCTGAATTGATTCAGGTTGTACTAGTGAATTTTTAAGAGTCCATTATTATTGAAATTCCTACATACAATGTTATTGTGGGTCTGAAACACTTTTTGTCCTACTTAAGCTACTGTTTTTGTAATGCATTCTCTAATGACATTTGATTTCTTAGAAACATAACTAATTTGATAAAGTAGAGCTGACTATATTTTTTGTCCTTAAAATGATTTTTTTTTTTTTTTTTAAGATAGGGTCTCACTCTGTTGCCCAGGCTGGAATGCTATGGCACAATCACTGTTTATTGCAGTCTTGGCCTCCAAGGCTCAAGATCTTTCTCCCGCAGCTTAGCTGAGTAGCTGGGACTACAGGCACAGGCCACCACACCTGGCTAATTTTTGTATTGTTTTCCAGAGGTTTTGCCACATTGCCCAGGCTGGTCTCAAACTCCTGGGCTCAACTGATCCACCAACCTCAGCCTCCCAAAGTGCTGGCATTACAGGCATGAGCCACTGTGCCCAGCAAATGGGCATTATTTTAACAATGCCATTATAAAATAATGTATTATAAAATAATGCCACCAAAGTGCATTTTTTAATAATATTTCTCAACTGTGTGTAAAGAATACAACCAAGTATTTTTCTACATCAATTTCTACACTATAGCTTCCCAGAAGAAAGAAAAGTTCCTTGTTACAATGTAAGTAATGTAAGTACAGCTTTCTCAATTGCCTGTTTTCTTACTCTGAAAAGCTTGTGATGAGTAAACCCAAAGTTTAACCAGAAATTCCTCTCAAATTTTATTTTTAACAAGAAAAACAAAGGCCTTGAAAATATGACAGAATATGAACCTTTCATATGCTTTTTAAAATCCGAGTTATAATGAGTGTTCTTCTTTTATCAACTCAAGCATGTGCTTTACTTTTCTATTATTGTGTATAATACAGCTAAAACATGCTGGGTAACAGTTGCTGTATTTCTTGTTCTATTTTTGTGACTTCAATATGGTTTAGATTTCAAACAGAAAATGAAGGTAGATTTTAGCCACGAGCCATTTTAAATGACAGTATTCCAGAATTACCAGCCACTCACCTAACGGGGAAAAAGAAAACCGCTCACCAGTCATGAATAGTAAGTTTTAAGCCTTGTGATAACATAGTTGAATTGGATCATTAGAAATTGCTCAAGTCCCTCACTGAATCAGAGCTCCACATGTGTGAACACTGTGGAATGGCGCTGTGGTTAATAAATCGGTACTAACTTAACAAAGAACATCATACTACCTTCTCATAGGTGGAACTTGGAGGAGTTGCAAACAGCATTTCAGCAATTCTTCTTTGATACCAAGGCATTTCAGCAAATGTATAGCACCTACAAGGAAATAATACAATTTTATACATTCAAATTGTACCTTCTTTTCGCTTACAGATAACGAAGCATCTTAATACTATAAAAGGAATCTTGTACTGTATGTTTAAACAACTTGTGCTTTACATGATTATCAGGTAAACCGGAGATTGACATAGTGATCCGTTAGCTGGGATGTGTATTTTGTGATTAAATATAAATAGTAAGCAGTCATACTAATAACAGTAATATAATATGCATCTACCATTGAAAGCATTGTGCCAGGTACTGGGCTGATTATTCTCTCACTTATTCTTTGTAACAATTATATATGAGATAGGAAATTTTTTTCTATTTTTTTATAGAAGAAAAACTCAGAGAAGATAAACCTTACTCAGGAAAAATGACAAAGCTAAACATCAAATGTATAAATAACAGCAACCGACAACTTAAATCCATTTTTAAAGGGGCAAAGCAAATGATTAACCTCCAAAGATCTTTACAGCTTTCAGAAATAAGTAGGAAAGAAAGTGTTGGATCTTTGACTAGGATCTGAAGTCCTTAAGGCAGAAACTGCTATTTCATTTGGGTTTGCTTACTAGCATCTGACTTAGTGACTGCCCCTCAATTATCATTAATCCTCAGTGAGTGAGTGTTAGCTTAATATGTCCTTTATCCTGAAGAATATATTTCTCTTTTTAAAGAGTTTGACACAGGACAGTTTACACTGGTACCCTTCTTAGATGGCAGTAAATATTTAGCTCTGCAGACCATACTCAAAAGAGTGGCCCATCGATCTCAAAACAGACTGTTAAACCATCAAGTACAGAACACTTTGATAAAGCCTTATACCAGCACAATAATAATCTACAGTGGACATAAGATCACATAAAAATGGACAGATACTGAAAATCAGATTATATCATTCCTCAGATTAATCCAGACTATATCTGACACACTTTGAAGATACAAAGACCCTCTTGGGGCATTCTACTGTTTTACTATAGTTACATTAATCTAATTTCATTTAGCATGGTAAGTAAGAACAGTCTTTTCAGTCTGTACATGTTTCTAAATGACCTGAATAACAATGTTTAACAGGGTCATAATCAAATTTAGTATGTTCTAACAATACATATACGAGTGCTAGTTAATGGATTTAGCCCTCTAAACTCTGTCAGATAATATTTTAAAATATTTAATATCTTTTATATATGCAAAAGATATTTATACATACTACAAAATAATATCACACTAAATACTACTGAAATATTGAAATAAATTTTCTTACCAAATACCCATAAGGTGAAATGAAGTCGCATCTTTAGGGTTCAGTTCAATTGCTTTCTAACAAGAAATGAGAAAAACAAATTGTATGTATTTTCTAAACACCAATAGGTGCTTTACTGTGTTTGCTGAAGAAGCCATGATTTTTGTAAAAAAAAAAAAAAAAATCGTGTGTTTCAATTCTCCCATTATAATTAATATTAATAATTAATAATCCTGATTCTTTGATTAAATTCACTTCAAAACACTATTAATGACTTGTACTAAGGTTACTATTTTGTAAGGTTCAGACATTTATAGTGTCTATCAAGATGAGAAAAAACATGAAATACATAAATGAATTGATTTTGCAAATTAATAATCTATAGCTCTTAATGTTTCTTCCAGATTAAAGGAAAAATGAATAAGGAAGTACTTTCTTGGCAAACTGTAGATGAATACTGAATAAAAGTCATTATTTCCTAAAGAAGAACTAAAAATGCTTTGTAGTTTTTTAGAAAAAATCTAGTTTTAGAAAGTCTCTTCTATGTAGATTTTAGAAAGTCTTTTCTATTTTTAGAAAGTCTCTTCTTGTATGCAGATTTTGTTCAACCTCCCCATCTGTACTTACCAAAGGAAAAATAAACAGTTTATAGAATAATTATGTGCAATGTAAAATGTTGAATCTCCCTAATTTCTATTTACTATGTGAATTAATGTGAAGCATAAACTACAGAATACCTTTAAAGAAACTGTTCCTCCTTTTATCCATTATTTTGTTGAAAACCACTAAAGAAATCTTACAGATTAATGTTGATCATATTAAAAGGACTGTTTTTGAAAAAATTAAGATTTCCTAGTTTATGCTTTTCTATAAACCCACATTTTTGCTTTCAGTTTAGTAATGTGTGAGGTACACATTTTCAAATATTTGTAATGGTTAAGAGCATGGTCTCTGAAGCCAGACTGACAGGATTCAAGTCACAGCTTAATGACCCTGAACTGGCTGCAACATCTACATTGTTACCACGACTGAGTTTTTTCTCTTTTATAGAAAAGTCATATACTCACTTAACTCATAAGGTTGTGGTAAAAAATAAAAATATTTTAACATGTTTATATGCAACTTATACTCTAAGCAACCTTTCCCAATTGGAATTCCACTAAAAATTAAGCCCTTCAAAAAACTGTGTAAGTAAGTATTTTTTCCATTTCCTAAGAATGATATAGAGATACTGTAGTCCCATTCTAGATGCATAGGAAGGAAGTCAATTCATCACAATGGATGCCTGGGGGGATCAGGGTTTAATTTTCCTTTTTTTTTGCCTTTGCCAAAATAAGGTCTTATTTTGAAAGTTACTTGAAAAACACTGAGGAAAGAAGGAGAAGACCTAAGACCCAACGGATATAAGTTTCCAAATTTGTATTCTTGACAGCCCCACCAATGGTCTGTCTCTGTCAAGCCCAGAAGGTGCTGATTTCTTTGGTAATTCCTATTTTTTAGCTTCCTGGAGAAGAGATCTTTTCCCATAAGCCATCTTCTTTTTTTTTTTTTTTTTTTTTTTGTAGAGTAGGGCTTTATTTCCAGGAAACTGTGTGTTAGTTGGAGCAGTATTTTTTTAAAAACCATCAAGGTAGATCTAGTATGTTCAACAAAGTGGGACGGCTCGGCCAGACACGAAGTGGAAAGATTCTCTAGTATTTGCTTGTCATCCTGCTGCAAGCAGAAATCCACATGTGGAAATGGCATCCAGGAGTACAGTCCTATACGAAGTTGTTCTGTCTTTGCATCGTAAATGCGAATCATTGGTCCTCCTGCTAAAACTCATGCGGCGTGCAGCTGCTCCTCCAGACCTCGATCTTGAAAGGAGGCTCTGTAGGCCGGGCACAGTGGCTTACGCCTGTAATCCCAGCACTTTGGGAGGCTGAGGCAGGCAGATCACTTGAGGTCAGGGGTTTGAGAACCAGCCTGGCCAACATGGTGAAACCCTGTCTCTACTAAAAATACAAAAATTAGCTGGGCATCGCAGCAGGCGCCTGTAATCCCAGCTACTCGGGAGGCTGAGGAAGGACAATCACTTGAACTCTGGAAGTGGAGGCTGCAGTAAGCCAAGATCACACCACTGCACTCCAGCCTGGCCAACAGAGGAGATTCTATCCCAAGCAAAAACTAAAAGAAAGGAGGCTCTGTAAATCTCTGCAGTCTCAAGTTGACAGCAATGCCATATATTATTAGAAAGTGGTATTCATTTTCTTCCCGGTCATTTAATTCCGTCACACATAATCATAATACCACTAAGTGAATGTCATCTTCTTTCCTGTCAGATTCACTAAGAAGTTAATGAATTTTTGTGACAACTGCCTCCCACATCACTGAAGCCTCCCACGAGGTATACTTCCAGCCTTCCACATTGAGCGTGGTCAGAAAAGGATTTTATGGACTTCATGATCAAGGGGACCTCAGCTTTGGTGTCAGTTCCATCACAATGTGTCAAGCAGGTGGCCCCGTTACCTGTGTGCCACATGACCACAATGTGACAAGTAGTGGCATTATCAGAACCCAGAATGGAGATGGAGCCATCCTCTGGGGAGGTCACCGCTGAACATACAGAAGGCCCTAGGGTCCCACTTGTTGAACAGACTGACCTCTGAGACGTCTGGCTCTTTCCTCCAGAGGCAGGTGGGCTTGGACGAGGTCCCTGGCGAACTGCAGCAGCCACACTCGCCACCCCTCAACAAGCAGTGGCATTGCGGAGGCAGCCGCCCAGGCCAGGGTTTAATTTTCTTGTGGGAAGCGTTGAGAGGGGGTACTTTCAAGCAAACTCTTTCATAATCAATCTTTCCTGCCATTGGTCTTTCAAAAAGAATCCAAAGATGGTAATTCCTTGCCACTTTGGATATATAATGGAATTTGAAATGTAAGTAGTATAAATGATCCTTTTAATATGTAAATACTAAATACTGCCATTTAAAATATATTTAAACATGTACATTTGAAAGCTTATTATATAAAACACTTTTTTTTTTATAATCTATGATCTTCACTGTTTTGTTAAAAAAAGAGAAAAGCATACATTTGTATTTTTTCTACAGTTCTTCATTATTCACTTTGGAAGTTACGTCATGTATTTCTATATCCTGAGACACAGAGAAATTAAGTGATCTATCTAATGCCACTGAGAAAATTACTGTATTTCCCTAAATCTAAAATATCAAAAATGACACACCATTAGTTTATGTGCCACTAAGAAAGAAAATATAACTGCCAACTACAACGTAAGGTTCCAGTGATTACATCATGTAATCTCATTTCAAGGATTTTAAACTGTGAAACAGGTAAAGTGTTACATTATAAAATGTCAGTTATTAGGTATATATTACTATCCATACCTGAACAAGAAAAGCTAGGTCTCTTGACTCTCAGTCATTCTTTTTCACTAGTTGTTATATAAACTAGGAATTGACACTAAACCATAAAATTCTGCAAAACTATTTAAACAGCAAATTCAGCACTATTCCTATGTATGTTTCCATCACTTTTCCTTCCTATAATCTCAAAAGAGCAATAAATATGCTGGTTTTTTTTTTTTTTTTTTGAGACAATGAAGTTCATACACGTTAAGAAATATACGGACTCCTATGCAATCCTTAGCACCTAACAGCTAACTATAAACTTTAGGGGAAAATATTTTTAATAAAACACGCATACAGTACACACACAGATATCAATCTTAAATAGAATTATTACTACAAGGAGTGGTGTGTCAATTGTGTTAAAGACTGCTACACTGGACCACACTTTCCATATTCAGGAACTTGTGTCACTGGTCCCCTCCCACAGAAACTGGGCTTGCCCTTGTGACTTGTTTAGATTAATAGGATATTACCAAGTATGATGCAAGCAGAGGCTTGCTAAAAGTTTGCACACTGGATCTTTTCCCATGGAACACTCATTCTTGGAAGCCAACTACCATGCTATAATGAAGGCTGAGCTAGACAACTAAGTGATAAAAAAAACAAGTGGGGAGAAACTCTCATAGGTGATAGGCCATCTTGGACACTGTAGTCTCAGCTGAGGGTCCAGGTGAATGCAGCTGTCTAAATGACCTCAGCTATACTAAGCGATGTGGAAGTGCCACTGAGCTCAGTTAACCCACAGAATTGCAAGAAATAACAAACTTGGCTGGGCGCAGTGGCTCACACCTATAATACCAGCACTCTGAAAGGCCGAGGCAGGTGGATCACCTGAGGTCAGGAGTTCGAGACCAGCCTGGCCAAAATGGTGAAACCCTGCCTCTACTAAAAACACAAAAATTAGCCAGATGTGGTAGTGTCCGCTTGTAATCCCAGCTACTCAGGAGGCTGAGGCAGGAGAATTGCTTGAACCCAGGAGGCGGAGGTTGTAGTGAGTCGAGATAGTGCCACTGCACTCCAGCCTGGATGACAAGAGCAAAAAAAAAAAACAAAAAAAAAAAAAAGAAAAGAAAAGAAATAACAAACTGTCATGGCTCTACTCCACTGTTATCATAGGTGGTTTGAAATACAGCAATAGATAATGAAAACAAAAACCTATTCAGAAAAATTTGACTTTTAAAATTCATGAATTTGAATAATTCATCAGTACCTCAAAATGCTCCTTGATAATATACGCATTTGCAATTTTAGCCTTGATGCCTTCATAATCTCCAACATCACTAAGGCAGATTGCATACCACTGAAAATTAAAGAAAAGTGTAAGAACAGTAATATTCTTAATATTCCATTCAATACAAGGTAAAACTGTATAATATTTATTCTTCAAGTCATTCTCATCCAACAAAAAGTCATTGAGCATAAAAACTGTATTAAATGTAATGGAATACATAAAGAAAAGTGGACATAGCCCTCTAGAAACTCAGGAATAAGGTTGGGCGCAGTGGCTCACGCCTGTAACAGTACTTTGGGAGGCTGAGGTGAGTGGATCACCTGAGGTCAGGAGTTTGAAACCCTGGCCAACATGGTGAAACCTCATCTCTACTAAAAATACAAAACTTAGCTGGGCATGGTAGCATGCACCTGTAATCCCAGCTACTTGGGAGGCTGAGGCAGAAGAATCACTTGAACCCGGGAGATGGAGGCTGCAGTGAGCCAAGATCACACCCCTGTACTCCAGCCTGGGCAACAGAGAGAGACTATGTCTAAAAACAAAACAAAACAAAACAAAACAAAACAAAACAAAACAGCCTCAGGGATAGGACATGTTTATAGAGAACTATAATACAAGGTAGAAAGTGGTGAATTTTCCAAGAAAGTTACCAACACAATGAGACAATGGTTCATGTTTATGGTCTGAGTATCAATTTAGAAGAATATGTAATTGAATGTTTTATTTTCTCATTCTCTTTTCTAGGAGTTCCATCTCCTCCCATACTGCATTGTTATAGTAAGAACAGCCACATTATCAACTGTGACCTTATCTCCACAGCCACAGTTGGACAGCAGACCCAAACTGAGACAACCTGAGTTTCTTTCCCAAGAAATGAATCTAAAATGGCCATGCTTCAAAAACCCAGGTGCTGTGGAAAGTCACAAGACTTAGGATAAGGAGAAAAAAAACATCTGCAATGAAAAAGATTTTCTGATAACAGCAGAGTAGAGAAACAATTAATGAAGCCTCAGAGCAATCAAGCCAATTTTTTTCCAAGGTCCAACTTTACCCTGCCTTTGGGTTCTATGAAGTCCAGCAATCCAGAAGGCTAATGATGACCTCGTCTCCCTGTACAATTTACTGAAAAACGTCATTGTGAACCAACAAGAAATCCTGAGTTACATGTGAAAGTCATTCTAGGTCTCAGTTGTCTAGCTGTTATATTCCTACCTCTAAATAAAACAGAAATATAACGTGAGGAAAATGAGAAAATATTTGTGAAACGCTTATACTAGTAAGAATATAGATATAGGTAATTCATGAAATTACTAAACTTCTGTTTAAAAATAAGCATTCACAAAAGTAATTTATCAAATACACATGAAGTTAGACCAAATGTTTACAAAAACAAAGACTTCTTTTTGAAAAACATAAAAATAACTATCTTCCCTACTTCTTTAAAATAGAGAAATTATCCTTAAGACATAAGATTAAAAAAAAAGAAAAAAACTTAAAATAGAGAAATTGTTCTTCCAATGTAAATTAGGGATAATAGAAAAATATAGAAAATGTACCTCTCAGTACATGGTAATAGCTTAGTTAAGCAACTCACCTTATGAGCTGCAAAATGTGATTCATTTTTCTCTAGTGCTCTTTTTGCATACTCTAGGGCTTCATACACCAATAGCTTTTTCTCCTGTTCTGAGGTTCTGCTAAGCTGAGCAACATCACGTGATGCTCGTGCCAAACGCCACAGTAACTCTGCGTCTTCACTAATTTGAAATAAAATATAAAACAACCATTTTCGCTCACATTTAAAAATTGTTAAGGGTTACATTACTAATGAATACATTATGGTCTTTCAGCTTAGGAAGCTAGCAACATGGTATCAAAAGCCATTATTAATAATGCTAAATTTGTTATTTTTGTTAATACAAAACCTTTATTTGCTAAAATTTCCTATAAAAATGTCTAATATTCATAAATATTAACTTACCTCTAGTATCTAAAACACTGACTTCTTTCAAAAATATCTTTGTATTCAAATTCTCCGAACATTTGCCCTACAAAACTCAACATATTAACTTGAGGCTTGGCCTCACTGGCACTGTGTTTCAAATAGCTCACTCGGTAGTTCATACAGTATCATAAAATACGTAAATTTTATAGACAGGGTCATGTTCTAAAAATACAAAACTGCTGAATCCCTAGTCTCAAATATAGCACCTGACACACAATAGTTTTGGACAATTATTTGCTAATGAATGAATGGTTGAATATAATGTAATCTCCAAATATAATCCTATGTTTGAATGCTATGCCATGACGCATGGGTTACTTCACGTAAGAGCACTGGATTCTTTGAAGAACTGCCATTTCCATATAGTGATATAAGAAATGGTTAATAAATTATTAACCATCACAACTGACAGAAATAATTGTAAAAATTAAATTCTGGTCAGGCACACTGGCTCACGCCTGTAATCCCAGCACTTTCGGAAGCCGAGGCAGGCAGATCACCTGAGGTCGGGAGTTCAAAACCAGCGTGACCAACATGGAGAAACCCTGTCTCCACTAAAAATACAAAATTAGCTGGTCGTGGTGGTGCATGCCTGTAATCTCAGCTACTTGGGAGGCTGAGGCAGGAGAATCACCTGAACCCGGGAGGTAGAAGTTGCAGTGAGCCAAGATTGCGCCATTGTACTCCAGCTTGGACAAAAAGATCGAAACTCCGTCTCAAAAAATAAAATAAAATAAATAAATTCCTTTTATTAAATGTTTGCCTTTAATCCTAACTTTATATTTTTTTTAACAAAAAATAAAAATTTGAAACTAAAGATTCCTTAAGATAGTTATTATTCAATGAATATGGAGTAACTACCTTACAGCTTATTTTTCAAGCTATCAATGACATGACAATAAAATGACAAACCAGCCACCTTGTATTTCTGAGGGGAGAATGGAGAAGAAAAGATCAATCCTGTAGATATCTAGAAAGTAAATTTGGTGGGTCCTGGGGAGAAAACTGGTTTTGAAAATCTCAAAAAGGTAGATGAAAAGGACTCAATATTTTTAGTTTAGGAGATGAGTAAATTAGTTATCTAGAAATGCTATTTAGCCATATGATTTACTTTATAGGTTGAGTCTTTCTCTCACTCCACACTCCTCCCAAAAATGAGTACACACTGATATTCTACACTAAACATACAATCTAATACTAAAAATAGAAAAAGGGGGTATTTTTGATTTCTCTGACTATCCTTCTAAAGTAATACATGGTTACCATTCAATGGTGGCATACAACATCCTAAATCTCAGTGAATTCATTTAATCTATACCAATAAATAATTACTTTAAAAGGAATGAGAAATACACAATATGGCTAGAATGGATAAACATATATTCAGTAACTATGCTGTATGATCTAAAGCAAAATGGAAAAATCAACATTCCACTAGAGTAAGTAGTAACACCTTTTCTAAATCAATGAGATACATGCAGCATTTAATGTAAGAAATAAATAGTATATTATAAATTAAACTCTAAGAAATATTTTGAAGTAAAAACTACAATAATCAATTTTTAAAACCTCAAGCACTAAGGGTCATTTTAATTGTTAAATAAAAATTTTGAGGAAACCACAAGCCTAGGCCTATCTTACATTGCTTACCTCTCCTTGTATTGGGTTAGCAACTGATAAAGTTTTTCTGTTTCTCCGCTTTCATACAGGTAGTCTGCTTGTTCAAGTATTTCTTCAACTTCAAAGATTATAAAGGAAAAAAGACACAATAAAATATGTCTTCCTAAGTCAGATTGACAATAATTCAAAGAAACATAAACACTTTTATATATAAGCAAATGAAATTAGATACAGAAATGACCTATAGTGAAAGAGCAGAAATTATGAAGAATCTAGATGGAAACAAAGTAGCAATAAGCATAACGCTATCATAAAAACTGATTTATTGAAATAATGGGAAATAAAAAATTAGAAAACTTATTCTGGTACTGACTAAATATGAAACACTAACAATAAATATAACAGTAATGATAGCTGATGAACTAAAAAAAATTCCAAAAACTCTCATAATATTTTAAAAACGTTTACTTATCTGTGTTGGGCCAGATTCAAAGCTGTCCTGGGCTCCATGTGGCCTATGGGCCGCAGGTTGGACAAGCTTGCTCTACACAGTCTTTGTTGTTGCTCTGTTAAGTACCATCCATTGTAGAAAATAAGTCATCTACTTGCAGCACTGAATGTTAGTAATGTGCATGAACCAAACTACACTGTTTTAATAGATTCTCTTTATACACAGATGTTCAGAGTCAGAGATGTCATCAGAAATTTAGATGAAGCTAACTACACACTGAACCTGGAACTTATTGACACTATGCTCTGACTGACTCTTAAAACTAATCTATATATGACTACAAAATACATAATACATAAACATTATTGACAGTGTAGTGACCTAAGAAAACTGTCTACTTAATGAAAAAACAGTCTGAATTTCAGGAAATTCCAATTATTACTCAGAAACATGTACATTTAATTTTGTCTTCTATAAGGGTACTGTACTACTTAGTCCTAAGCCAACATTCCAATGTGTATACACTTGGTACACTTTAATCAATCATGGTATACTTGCAGTTAAAAGGGTTTCTTGGCCTGGCGCGGTGGCTCATACCTGTAATCCTAGCACTTTGGGAGGCTGAGGTGGGAGGATCACCAGGTCAGGAGTTTGAGACCAGCCTGGCCAACATGGTGACACTCCGTCTCTACTAAAAATATAAAAATTAGCTGGGCGTGATGGCATGCGCCTGTAATCCCAGCTACTTGGGAGGCTGAGGCAGAAGAATCACTTGAACTCAGGAAGAAGAGGTTGCAGTGAGCCAAGATCGCGCCACTGCACTCCAGCCTGGGCAATAGAGTGAGACTCTCTCAAAAAAAAAAAAAAAAAAAAAAATGGTGGGAGGGTGAGTTCTTAAGTTTTTAAAAAATTAGCAAAAAGAAAAAAACCATGAAACTTGTGATGCAATCATGTATTTTTTAACATCATAATGTAATAATTATAATAGTTAAGAAATTAAATGACAATAGCAGGAAAAAACCCTAAAATTAAATAAAGATTATTTTTTTCAGTAATCCCACTTCATTCTGATTAGGTGTTATAAAGTTTAATAATATTCATATGGCTGGTTAATTTTTAAAATTTTGCTTCCATTCTATTCTATATTTTTATCTAATAAGTAGCTGAATCACAAAGTTTGTGTTTTAACAACCCAAAAGATAAGTAGTAGTCTTTATTCTTTAGTTGATATTTAAGTAGGTAGAATAATGGCCCCCAAAGATGCCCCAATCTTAATCCCTGGAATCTGTTTGAATGTTTGGTTACACGGCAACAGTGAACTGTAGATAGAATTAAGGTTGCTAATCAGCTAATCTTAAAATAGGAAACTATCCTGGATTATCCAGGTAGGCCCAATATAGTAATAGGGGTCCTTAAAAGTGAAAGAGGAAGGCAAAAGTCAGAGAAGGAGTGTCAATGGAAACGAGGTCAGAATGATGGTTTGATGGTGGTTCTGAACATGGAGGAAGGTGCCTTCAGCCAAATAATGCAGAAAGCCTACAGAAGCTGAAAAAAGCAAAGAAAGGGAATATTCCCCAGGGTCTCTGGAATGCAGCTCTCCCAATGCTGATTTTAGCCAGTCAGAACCATTTTTGGCTTCTGAACTGTAAGATACAGAACTGTAGAACCCTAAGATAATAAATTTGTGTTGTTTAAGTCACTGAGCTTGTCACAGCAGTGAAAGAAAATTAATATTAAATTAAATATATTGATCTGGCATATTTGAATGTGTATATAGTATGTATAAGGAAAAAAGTTACTTTTAAATCTATTCATTGATTATTCTCTGACTTACTGAAAAGACTGATTACTGTCCTTAACATGATCTAGGAATTCTAAATCACATTACTCATGCGATTAAAAAAGTAGAAATTATCAGCCAGGCATGGCAGCTCACGCCTATAATCCCAACACTTTGGGAGGCTGAGGCGGAAGGATCATTTGAGCCCAGGAGTTCGAGACCAGCTTGGGCAAGATGGCAAGATGCCAAGATGCCATCTCTTTAAAAAAAAAAAAAAGTAGAAATTTAGTGAATAATCTAAATCTTTTTTGTGTGCATCCTTTTATAATCTCTCAAATCACTTAGCTCCAAATTCTTAATTACATAGTAAAATACTGTAAGCTATAATATAATGGCTTTAAATATATATACACATATATATATTTATTTATTTATTTGGGACAGAGTCTCACTCTGTCACTAGGCTGGAGTGCAGTGGCGCCATCTCGGCTCACTGCAACCTCTGCCTCCAAAGTTCAAGCGATTCTCCTGCCTGAGTCTCCTAAGTAGCTGGGACTACAGGTGTGTGCCACCAGTCCCAGCTAATTTTTTGTAGTTTTAGTAGAGACAGGGTTTCACCATGTTGGCCAGGATGGTCTTGATTTCTTGACCTCGTGATCTGCCCACCTTGGCCTTCCAAAGTGCTGGGATTACAGGCGTGAGCCACCACGCCCAGCCTATAAATTTACATATTTAAATATATATACATATGTATATATATAATTCTAAAAAGGATTTTTCTAAAATCATACACTGTACAAGTTATAAGAAAAAAGTACACTTCCTATGGTACTACAGACTGACATAGGCACTCAGGTGAGAGCTTGTAGACAACTCTACATATCTGCAAATCAGTTGTTTTCTAACCTAATATTTTATACTTTCTTGAAAATATTTAAAACTAAGTTATGTTACTAACATACAGACCATATTCTATAAAACAGACTAAACTTTTAAAGTAAATTATTTTCAACTTAATAAGTAAGTATTCTAAGATGAAATGAGATGTTAATTCACCTAAAACTGTAGAGTGAAATCTTAAATTTAACCTAAAATAGATATGTGCAAGATCAAAATAATTAGAATTTTTTAAAGAAATGCCAATGATGTAACCTCCTACATATATGTTAGTAAACTTCGATTTTCTACTTTTCTAGCTGACTGTACTCCAGCCATGTGAGCAGTGTCAGGACAAGAATACTCCTCTGGCAAGATAAATAGCTATATTCCTGAAATTTCTCTACATAAGACTCAAGAAGTAGAAAATCTGAGTATCTAGATTCAAGCCTCTAAGTAGCATAACATCATCAAAGTTTAAGGCAATTCTTTCATACCAATAATACTGTGTCTCAGCAGTACCAGAAACAGTGCAACCGAAAATGCACTGAAGTACAACAAATAACTACATACAAAGGAACACTGATCTCAGTTCTGTAGGTTCATCAATAAAGAGGAATTTTGAAAATATATATGAAAACACAAGTGAAGTGATATATAAAGAACCTTTAATGACTGTGACAAAAACAGAAATTTAAAAAAACACACAAAAACAAACTAAAAAATAGAACCTTTAAGTTGGGCACTTGTAATTATCTTTTAAGCATTTTACACGAGCTTTCATATGCACAAAGAGTACTATGAATGTATTAGCATACCTTTCTTCAAGGGGCTTTAAATTTGGTCTATTTTAAGGAGCTAATGAGGCCAGGCATGATGGCTCACACTTATAATCCTAGCTAGCACTTTGGGAGGCCAAGGCGGGTGGATCACCTGAGGTCAGGAGTTCAGGACCATCTGAACATGGTGAAACCATGGTCAAAACATGGTGAAACCCCATCTCTACTAAAAATACAAAAATTAGCCAGTCATGGTGGCGGGTGCCTGTGATCCCAGCTACTTGGGATGTTGAGGCAGGGAAATCGCTAGAACCCAGAAGGCAGAAGTTGCAGTGAGCTGATATTGCACCAATGCACTCCAGCGTGGGGGGACAGAGCAAGACTCCGCCTTAATAATAATAATAATAATAATAAGATAATGAAACATTCCTATAGGAGTGCTTCAGTTCCTGATAACAAGTGGATATCTGGTACCACCTTGTGATAAATACAGATATAACCATTTTAAAAGTCAGTCCTATAATCCCATCCAACTAAAATGTCAATGATATTTATGCCCTTAAACTTCAACTCATTTCCAAAAAACTCCCACTTCAGAATGTAACTTAGTTCCAGAAAATGGAGGAAGTAAAAGCTTTTAAATTTGCTTTAAATAAGCATAAAGCAGATCAAAAGAGAATCAAGCAGAAATTTTGAAGCATGGAATTATTTGAAGACCAATTCCTTAAAAAAAAAAAAAAAGCAAATGGAAGAGATATAAGACAAAGAAAAACTTGTAAGGGCCAGTGAAGTTATATTTTTATAGAAACATATGGATCATTTTCCAGGATAAAAAAAAATGTTTCTGTATTTTTCAATTACTCTTTTTTCAAGGGCTATGGTCTATAGTCTCACAAATTGTATAAGCATGCCAATCAACTAATTACAAAGTGATTTTTTTGTTGTTTTAAGAAAATAAAGCTATTGCATTATGGAAAACAACAGCGAGGTTCCTCAAAAACTAAAAATGGAACTAGTATATGATCCAGCAATCCCACTTCTGGATGTATATCCAAAGGAAATGAAATCAGTATGTCAAGGAGATATTTGTACCGCCACATTCACTAAGGCATTAGTCACAATAGCCATGCCTTAGGGAAACCACTTAAGTGCCCGTTAATAGATAAGTGGATTAAACACAAAAAGTAGCATACATACACAAATGGAGTATTATTTAGCTTTAAAAGAGAAGA